ATACTTGGAGGGATCTTTTAGTTTTATCGTAATAGGAACACAATGTGCAGAGGAGGGTGTACTCACAAATTTCTTGAAACTGTTTTCATTTTTAGAACTCTTTGACATCTTATTTCAGTTTGTACTTCTTTACAAGTGGGATTGAATGTTTTGCACATTTGATGTTGATTTTATTTAATAAATATTTAAATTTTTAAGTAATAATAATTTAATAATTAAATAAAATAAATTATAAATTTAATAATTTTTTAATAGTGTTAGTAATATATTTGGGGATCTGTTCTAGGAAAAATTAAAATGGACATTGAAATATGGATATATTTCTTAGTACAGAGAAAGTAAAAATTGTTAATGGATTTCAGACATTTATGAAATGTGACTGCATTTTTACATGGTATTTTTAAAAACCTTTTTCTGATTTTTAATCTTAACCCTAACTATAGCATCTAGCTCATTTCTTTATTGTTTAATTTTTCATAATTGTTTTGTTTTATTTTTCTTAGCAAAAAGTGATGTTCATTGTTGGGGGAGAGAAAAAGAAGCAAAAAGAAGGAAATAAAAATTGCTGGTTACTACCATCCAAAGATAATCACTGTCACATTAGTGTATCCTGTCCTTTAACTTTATTTTTCTATATAATACATTTTGAATGTATGTTCATGTCATTGAACATTCTTTTATAACATAAATGATTACATAGTATTTCACTGCAATAAAATATTTTTAAAAAACCAGTTACTGGGGCCGGCCCGGTGGCGCGCTGCTACAGTGTGCCGCTTGGGAGTGCGGCGGCGCTCCCGCCGAGGGTTCGGATCCCACATACAGACCAGTTCCCGCTCACTGGCTGAGCGAGGTGCAGGCGCAGCACCGAGGGTTGCGATCCCGTTGCCGGTCCCGGTCCGGTACGGGCGCGACACTGAGGGTTGTGATCCGTTGCCGGACACGAAAAAAGACAAAAAGGAAAATAAAAACAGTTACTGGACTGGTTTCCAGTTTTTTGCTGTTGAAAACAATGCTTTGACAAGTATATGCATATTCATTATTTTCTTTGGCTGAATTTATAAAAGGGGAATTTTTCCATAAAAAAATGCATAAATCTAAAGTTTTAGATACATATTGCCACATTTCTCAACCCATGTTGAGAGTGCCCATTTCCTTGAGTTCTTCCTTATATGTTTTAGTGTTTTAAATTTGGTAATCAAGAAGTCATATCTCATTGCTTTATTTACATTTCCTTATTTATTAGTGGGATTGAACATTTTTCTTATAGATTGGCCGTGCATATTTTGTAGATGCTCATTAATGTACTTCTATTGTTTTTCTATGTCTTTTTTTTTTTTGCCATTAAGAGCTCCTTATTTAGCTTATTAACTCTTGATCTGTAATATTTTTTGCAAGTCTTTCCCCAGTTATTTGCCTTTTAATTTTATTTATATTGTTTCTTAACATACAGTCTTAAAAATTATCTCTCCTAGCTGCTATGTCAGTGAAAGAAGTCCTTCAAAGTTTAGTTGATGATGGTATGGTTGACTGTGAGAGGATTGGAACTTCTAATTATTATTGGGCATTTCCAAGTAAAGCTCTTCACGCCAGGAAACGTAAGTTGGAGGCTCTGGAATCTCAGGTAAACTGCCACAGTTAAAAATAAGTAGATTTGCTACACAACAAAAAGATTTTCATTTACTTAATCTCTTTTTGTTTAGTGCTTTCCCTTATGTTTTTAACATACATTATTTGACTCAAAGTCTAAAGGTACTCAACATCTTTCTCCTAAACTGTACAAGGACCTTAAAATGTTTTAACTTTCATGTTATCACATGTCATGATATTGTTTTCTAGTATTTTAATTTCTTTTTCTAATCAATAGACTTTTTTTTTTGAGCAGTTTTAGGTTTACAGACAACTTGACGGAAAAGTACAGAGTTCCCAAATACCTACTCCCTCACCCTCCTCACCAAATACCTACTCCCTCACCCTCCTCACCACGTACACAATTTCCCCTATTATTTACATCCTGTGTTAGTGTGGTACATTTGTTACAATAGATGAGCCAATATTGATAACTTATTAACT